TTCATCTTAGTGTACATAACACCAGTTGCATCAGTCAGTTTGGGGTACAACTCGTGTCGGTCCTGGCCAGAAGATGTTTTATGCTCCCTGGCTGACATTTCCATCCCAGATGTCAACCAGATGTAGAACAAGAAACGGGTCTATGTGAGAGCCTTCCTCTCACCAGGAAGCTCTGTAAACTGGACAAGGAGAGGTGCTAAACTCAAGCTCAGCTTGAGCACAGGCCAATAATAACACCCAGATATCAGAATTTCACCGCGTCTCAAATATAGCCTGAACCTTTGGGGCTGCAACCCTGTCAATACCTAGGAGGCTTAGCCTCAGTTTAAAACATTTAATTTTAAAGCTCGTAATATTTATTTTTAAAGCCTGGAGTGTCACATTGCATCACCAGTTTCTAAGCAACATTCCTGGGGACTCCACAGAAAAATGTATATTTAAAAAGTGAAGACTCAAATGAGGCCAACCTATTTATCAAAAGCGCCTTTCTATTTTAGGAGCTTGATCTGACTAACCAGGCACTGCTCTTTTTATTATGGGTCACTGCTTTTGCAAGCCTCCCTGTACTGACTCCCTTTCCTGCTTACATACAGGGGGCTGCAGCACAGTTCCCCTGTTTACACTATTAGTTGTTATTTCCCCAGCTGCTGGCTGGGTTATGACCCCAGTCAGAACACTAATAATAGCCTCCTCCCCTCTCAGGAAAGTGAGGAGCCAGCGGGGTTCAAGAAACCTGTCTCTTCTTAGAGCATCAACAATGTCTGGCTTCACAGGACTCAGGCTCTGGTGCTCTCTACTTTAATAACCCCCCACCGGCATCAGCAGGGGAACCTACACCTGCTTATCTGGCTCCCAGCTCCCCAGCACTGTACAAAGCAGCTGATACCAGTTTTCCCAGCCCCTTGCCTCCTTTCACCTTCCTTGTAACCAGTTTCTCTCCCATTCTCTGGAAGATTGCCTGGAAGCCTATGGAAAAAGAAAGGTCTTCCCACTCGCACCTCTGGCTGTTTCCTTCTTGCTGCGACCTTATTTCTCCAGGTTTTGTAGGACTGAGAAAGAATCCTAGTTCAGGAGGTAGCTGACTCTCCGTTTAATTCCTTAGCAGCTGAAATAATGTAGTTGTGCATACACCCCTTGACACACTTGATATATACATTTTTAGGTCTGATACCTAAAGCAGAATATAGAAAGACTCGCAGTACTGTCATCCTTAAACAGATATATATTTTCCCTTTGTGGACATAGCATTAACTTTCAGTTCCTTATTAAAACCTCTCTGAGGGCTACAGGTTTGTACATTGCATTTCACCTTTCTCAGGTTGCTCATGTCAGTTCGGTAGGCTACAGAATTCCTTTCCATAAGCCTCCAGAGAGCTGCACTCTTCAGGGGTGGGTGCCGTTTTGATCTCAAATTTCCCATATAAATGTGTCCATGGGGATCTCATTCCATCCTTTTGCCATGACTTCCAGTCCAGCCAAGAAGGTCTTCTGGAGGCTTGATTTGAAGACTAAACAGCAGAAAACCACCACATTCTTGGGGAAATTATCCCAGGGGTTAACTGAGATCATTATTAAAAAATTGCAAGTAATTGCATTTGTCAGAACTTAATTCCTAATCATTGGAGATCCTTCTGTCTTCCTCTGCTGGATTAAAAAGCAATTTACTTTCAGAAGTCTCTTCCTTGTCTATGCATGAGAAAATCGTGACCAAGATGTGGCTGTGCCTTCCACATAGTTATTTTCCCACCACCATTTCAATGGGAGCATATCCAATCACTTTTTGAACACTTTGCAATCCTTTTGAAAAGCTTGATGTGCATGCAGTAACCACCTTATTGCTACCACATATGACTTCCTAATCTTTTGTTGACGTGCTGGCAGACTTTCTCCTTGCTGCAATATCACACCAAAAGCTTATTTCCAGTGGCTTCCAGTGACTTTTAAGTCCCTAGCTGCCTTCTAGGATATTGTTCTTTCTCTTATGCATGTTTCGTGCATTTTTTTGCTTCTTGCTGTATGACCTTGCATTGGCCCTTTAAAATATATATGTTCACTTTACCAGAAGTCCCATTTGGCCTGTATAAATTACTTACTTTCTAAGAAATTCTGATGCCAAATATTTCCAGCAGTCATTTCAAGTTCATTCCTCACCTCAGATAAATATACTAAGAAGAATCAGCCTTGGAAATAATCCCTGTGGCTCCACATCTTGTTGTGTGCTAGTCTCTCCCTACAGCTGCCTTACGATCTATCATCTTCACTGATCTGCCAGCCTTTGATACATTTAAGACAGATTCTGTAGCATGCTACTTTTTTAATTAAGTTGGGACAGCACAAAAATTCTTCAGTGTATCTATAATGGCATAGGAGAGACAGCAGAGATAATAAGGAAATCTATTTCTTTCCTTTGTTGTCATGTACTGAGTGTGGGTTTTTTGGCTTCATTAGACCTATGCAGATAAATGATGTTTTGCTTCTGTGTGGTTTCGAACTATCACCAACAACAAGAAAATTGAGGTCATTTAGGTTTTTTTTAAAAATTAATTTACCCCAAATTAAATACTTGGCTTCAGCTTTGTAGGGTCACTTCTTTTTTTAATCTTTGTAATGAAAAGGGAAGAAACATTTAAATGAAAACATCATTTTGAATTATATTTTCTTTAAAAGGTCACGCTGAAAAGTTTAATGTTTAGAGACTTTGTTTTTCTTGTCAACTTTAATAAACCAGCAGACCTGCCACTAATTTAAGTGGAAAATATTACCTACCCCTGCTCCACAGAGCTCCAGTTTTGTGCTCCTTGTGAGAGGTACAATGCTATTACTTCCCAGCTGATGTAGGATATGATATTCTGGGAGGGGCTGTGCATTTTTGCACTCATGTTGATGTGAGCACACCCACTCCAGGGCAAACCACTGGCCACAGAATGCAAACTGTGGACACATATTAGCAAAACCACTACTAATGTTTATCAGTGCATTGAACAACTTATAGTAAAAATGAAGCAAATAAGGAAAGAGAGAAAGAAAAGAAAGTTTTTTATCCTTGAAACATTAATTTCAAGAGAAGTAGAAGGTACAGATCCCCCCACCCCAAGATAACTGAGGTCAAATCCAGTATGTTATCACAGAAATGTAACAGCATCTCTGTAAATAAGTGAAATCTTGGAAAACAGTAGAAGTAGTATTAAGGCCTTGGATGTTTTTAGGTATTACCCATCAACTACAATTAAGTGGTGTTTTACACTGAAGGTGCATGACACATTGAAGCCAGTGTGAATCGGCTAAAGACCAAGTGCTGGCAGCATAGCTGTGCCAGTTTACGTCAGCTCCATAGAATGGTGTCGTTTACACCATGAAGGGAGAGCAAAAGACGTGACCCTGTCTTTACCCATGTCTCTTTAGGTATTTTTGCCTCTTCAGGTATTTCTCTCTTTTTTTTTTTTTACTGCTAGTGCACATTCATGGGAAATACATGCGGCTCTAATTTTAATACAATAATAAAGTAATCATCTGGATCTCTTTAAAAACTACAAATTAACAAAAACAGCCATGACCATATGATGTTTGCAGAAAAGACTGTACTAACATTCATACATGAGGACCTGAAAGAGAAATTGGTTGGAAAGTGAAGAGAAATTTCACTGGAGAACTCCCAGAAAGCAAACAAACAAGGAAAAGGGGAACAGGAGGCAGAAATAATAGGGTTAAAAAACAGTAACTCTTAAAAACCAGAGCAGTTATCAACACCAATGGGGAAACGCACTTATCACACGACTATTTTTTATCCAGACGGTGTCTGTTTAATGGGAGGAAAGAGAAAGCCGAGGTTGGGGGGTGCCAGGGAGCTGGAACATGTGAAGGAAAGAGTTAAGGCTGGAGTCACCCTCTCTGAAGTGCTCTGTGATGCTGTGCAGTGTTTCAGCCCCCAGAGCCTTCCTCCTCCTCCTCCCTCCCTGTGTCGGAGTGGGGAGGAGGCGGGTTCTGCTGAGCTGTTAAATCCTGAGTGAAGTTTCCCCCATTTCCAGCGGCCACCGTTGTCTGAGGCTGGTTCGGAGCAGGGCTGGGGTTATCCTGACATTTCTGGGACCGTGGCCAGCCAAGAAGGCAAAGAGAAGGAAAGACGAGTCTTTTACAATTTGCTTTTGTCAAAGTGTGGAGAAAGGGGAAAGGGAAGCGTCCTTTTTTTTCAGCATCACATTCCTGTGTTTTTCTTCAGCCTGGAAAATATATTAATGCTGGTGCTTTCCTCTCTGGAAACAAAGGAGCTAAACGGGACTGAGGAAGAAAGAAGTGGGAAGGAGGCTTGGGAAGTTTAAAAGAGGGAGACTTTTCTTAAATGAAATCTCTGCCTGCGCGGGTAACCAGTAGAGCAAAAAGCCAGACCTGCAGGTAAATGGAGAAGCAGAGATCTCAAAGGAAATTTCCGCTAACCTCATCCCGCTTGTCAAGAAGGTGAAGAAGAAAGAAAGTTAAAAGATACACGGGGAGACGGACAGGCTCTGGGACCTGTTGGGCTGTGTAAAGATAAATCACTGGGCAGCAGCAAAGCTGTATGGCATTGGTCTCCTTTTAAAGGAAAAAGACGTGAAACCTCGTCGTTGGAAGGGGAACTTCCCTGAGAGTGTAAGTCTCAAGTCAAATTCTTGGCTTTCTGCTCTACGTACCCAACCTTTTCTCTGCGCGTCTTTGCTTGTGTGTATGTGAGAGCGTGAGAGAGAGAGAGAGAGAGAAGGATGCAGAGCACAGTGTCCTTTTGGATAGACAGAGTCATGTTACAGACGGATGATCTCATTTCTGCATAAAATGATCCGTTTTGTGCTTTTCCAAAAGTAACTGTAAACTGTACAAAGCCACCAGGCAGGATTGAGGTGCAATCAGCATTTTTAAATCACAAAAAACTAGCCTGTGCTCTGCTTTTTTTATCACTTGCACAAGATATCATCATACTGTTAACATCTAACTTTTTCTCTTTCTCCTCCTCCCTGCAAGCGGATTGCACAATGAACTGGAGGCCAGCTCTCAGCTTAGCCCTGCTGTGGGCAGCGTGGCTAGTGTGCGGCTCTGAGAAGACGGGGAGGCTAGTGGAGAGAGGGAGCCATGGAGTTAGGAAAGTGCTCCTGGCTTACAGGGCTCCAAGCAGCCTCCTGAGAAGGTCTGGAGCATCTCTGAGGAATTCAAGCCTGAATCCCCAACACCCTGTCACCAAGAGGGATTCTTCAGCACCTCCAAAGGCACCTGCCAATCTCCTGCAGAGGGAAGCGCGTTCCCAGGCCAGGGGCATGGGGACCAGAACGAGACGGGTACAGAGACTCACAGCTGCAGCCAAAAACTCCAAGTCTGAGATGATTAAGGACGAAGGGATATCATTTGCCCCACAGTCACGAGTGGTACGTTTCCCTTCGGGGTCAAGTTCTCCCAATGTCCTGGCCAGCTTTGCTGGGAAAAATCGGGTGTGGGTCATTTCTGCCCCCCATGCCTCTGAGGGCTACTACCGGCTCATGATGAGCCTGCTGAAAAACGATGTTTACTGCGAATTGGCTGAGAGGCACATCCAGCAGATTGTGTTATTCCATGAAGAAGGGGAAGAAGGGGGAAAAGTCAGAAGGATAACCAACGAAGGAAAAATCCTGGAGCAGCCACTAGATCCTGCCCTCATACCTAAGCTCATGAGCTTTCTGAAACTGGAGAAGGGGAAATTTGGCATGGTGCTGTTGAAGAAAACTCTGCAGGTGGAAGAAAGGTATCCTTATCCAGTCAGGCTAGAGGCCATGTATGAAGTTATTGATCAGAGTCCCATCAGAAAAATTGAGAAGATGAGGCAGAAGGGCTTCATCCAGACTTGCAAAGCAGCTGGGGTGGAGGGACAAGTGGTTGAGGAAGGCAACAATGGGGGCAGCACCCAGCCTACCCCTGCTGGTGGACATGTCCAGGTGTCAGCAAGGAAGGAGGAGCCAAGGAGGAGCAATAATCAGCCAACAAGGACCAAAACAGTGAGGAAACCGACGACAACCACGGTGGCCTCTCTTCTGCCAACAGTAAGGACCACTACCCTCCCTCCCACCACCACAACTACCCGTGCCACCACCCGTGCAGTGACAACAGCAAGCCGGTCTATGACAACAACTACACCGCTGCCCACCACGCAGCGGACCTGGACCACAAAGTCGCATTCCACCACAGAGTACCACAGGCTGCCAGTAGCCCCCGATGCCACCACACCACGAGTCACAGCCTCGGAGAATTTCAACTCTCCTGTGTGGAAGGCAAACCGCAGGGACCGGCTGCGCAGCCACACGGAGAAAAAACTGGCAGCCACACGGAAACCAAGCAAAGCTGCCCGCTATGACAGTTTCACAGAAGTCCCAACAGCTCCCTCAGTACACTATACAAAGGCAAATGTGGGTAGATTTAAAGATAATCGAACAGACAGGAAGGACTATAACCATAGGGACCTGAATGTCACACCAGGGCAACACAAACCAACTAAAACTAAACCACCAAAAAAGAAGGCCCAAGAAAAGATACTGAGTAATGAATATGAAGATAAATATGACTCGAGCAAGCCTCCTAGTTCCCATTTAGAGGAAGAGATTGCAGCAGGAAATACTCCCCCAAAGAAAGGAAAAGAATCAAAGAAGCATGAGCGAATGGATAAACCTGAGAAGAAGAAGAAGAAGGACAGACCTGACAAGCTGCAGAAGAGTGAGAAGCAGTCTAAGAAGGACAAAGCTGAGAAAAAGAGCAAGCAGGACAAAGACCGTAGCAAGAAGAACAAGAAGGGGAGCAGGACTGAAAATGAGGATTTCCCCAAGCCCAACAAGAAGCCTTTCCTACAGCCTCCCAGGAAATCAGTGACTGACCTCCTGGAATATTTTGAAGGCAAAAGGCGGCTCATTGTAAGTAACTCATTCATCTGAATCTTATTACATAAATGAAGTCATATCTCCCTCCTAGTAGGAATACGCGAAACAGAAAATTTATGGTGGTTTTGTATTATTCTTTTTTGGTGTTTTTGTTTAAGAGGTAAAATTTCTAGACCCAAACGATCATTTCCACCAGGGAAGGTTTCGCAGCCTCATGTTGGAAATCTTACATGCAGTATGAACTTCAGTCAGCCAGGAATTAGCCTAAAACCTCTTCCCGGTCACTTCCATGAGCCACCATATAGCCATCAGATTATTTTGTTTCCAGCGGATATGTAGGTGTCAGGATCTGTACAGTTATGATCAATAAAACGAAGTTCCAGTGTGGATTACATCTGTTCATCGCTTTGGGGTACTTGCCAATGTTGCCACATTTCGATGCTCAGCATGTCCTGCCAGCTGGCATATCTGTTTTATATTGGTGCTGGTGTCCTAAAACTGGAAGCAAGCCAGGTGGCTTGGCAGTACTAGTGCATGTCTGACTGAGGATATGCACAAAGACGTATGAACAGATGCCCTGAGGTAGGATTGTTACATTTGCTATTCTTTCTGATGGGAATTTGGCATTCAAATCTCCTAGACATCTTCAGAGATCCTGTGCAAACTTTATTTTGTTTTGTTTTTTTCCCCTGCTGTTTTTATTAAACTATAACACTACGGTAAGTTTTCAAGTCTGAGAAACTCAGCATGGTCTGGAGTTACTTGTCCCAGCGTTTAATAGTGTTGTATGTTTTTCCAACTACTTATCTAAAAAAACACTTCACCTGGGACAGGAAACAGTTTTAGCTGTAGTACAAATGTTTTTCCTGGCAGACAGCACATACCCTGAAAGGTACACTTTGAAAAACAGTTCTTTAAAAATATTATTGTGGGAGCTGGTTTCTGGCAATTATTCCACTGCAAGCTGGCCTGTTTCACAGTTATTGTTCAACAGTCAATGTCACAAACATAGCTTTGACTTTCATGCCCCATATTCCAATACAAATAGCTAAGATGCCAAACTAAGATTTCAGCCATTGGAATTTAATTAATCGTTCTGCCGATGATTCACAGACCTGAGCAGAAGCCAGCCGTCTTCTCCCCCTCCCCGTTCTTCCAGCTGTAGGGGTTGTGCAGAGCTAGCAGACTTGCATTCCCCAACATGATGGAAATGGAAAAGAGCCATATAGTTGAAAATCTTGAACGTGATTGAATTTTGCAAATAATGCCTATTAGTTACTTGTTAACTAGTAGTTAACCAACTCAGAAGCTCAGAGAGAGAAACTGCACAGAAGTTTGGGATCTTTGAATTGCAGTCATATATCTCAATGTTGTGGCTTCCAAAATATGTGCAGCATCAGGACAAATAAAAACAAATTTGAAAAAAGAGCCAAAAGCAGAGCTCACAGATGTCAGGCTGCTAATTCATTACACCAACACAGTCCTGGCAACCTAAAGGCTAGTCTGAAATTTGAATCTTCTGATACCAGGCTGGATCTCCAAGAAAAGCGTTCCACAATCTCAGGTTGTCAGGCCAAAACTCACTGAAGGCAAATGATTATGCCACACTGCACTTCACTTTTCCAGTATCTAATAGCATCCTCAGCCTGCGTGCTCTGAAGTTTCTTGGAGAATAGGTTTGATTTGGTCATTAGTAAAAGCAGTGGCTGAATTCTACTATCTCTTCGCCACGCATGGCACGTGTGGAAAACAAAGAACTTCTCAAGCTTCTTTGAATCCACACACATGCCTATTTGCATCCCTTCCTATCAAACTCTTCAGCTCCCTTAGGGTCAGTCCTTCCAGCTAGATGAACTCTGCCATTCATGAGTCTTCAAACTCCCTCTCTAGAGAATTTGCCCACACTGCCACAGAAGTGGCTCTACCTGAGTTATTCCCCACTGCTTTGCTATACTTTTTTCTTTCAGGCACTTTAATAGACTGGCTCCCAAGGGCATTGTTTCAGTCCTCTCCCAAAAGTCTTTTGAGAGAGACGTGGGTTTTTAAGTCCTACACATCATTAAGGATTTCAGATTGCAGATTTCAGTGTGAATTTCAAACATCCAGAATTTTGGAGACTATTCTGGGTTAAGTTCAATTAATGACAAATATAGGACCCAGCTGCAGAAACTGAAAAAATGTATGGGTTTTGAGTCCTTCAGCCCCACCTCTCTGTAGTGGGGTTTTTATTGCAGTCTTACTAATGTTGAGAAGTCTTGGCTCAGTGAGTTTGGGTTTTTTGTTTATTTCTCTGTGGTGATGAAATGCAGACTGACAGTTTACATATAACACTCCATTTATACCTACATGCATATATATGCACATGCACATACACACATGTGCATGCAAATGCAGATAGATACAGTGTATATACTGCCTGGGTTAAAACAGTCCTAGCACAAAGCTTCGATTTGAAGTTTGCTTTGCCTCTTCAATGTTCCCTGCTTTGTTCTACAAGGTTTCATGAAGTAGATCAAATTCAGATTTGACTGTGTGTTCCTGCTTACGGCCTCCAAAAGTAGGAGGACAATACAAACCAATGGTCTGGTTTTGATCTCAGTCCTCAAATCCTTTCCATGATCCTTTTTTCATTTGAAGCATTTCCATGCAATTTAAAAGCATGTTACATGTTATGGTCCAGAAATCAAATCCTCTTTGTGTCAGACACTCATTCACCTTCATGTCCCAATGCTGTATTCATGCCAGGGGGCCTTTGCTTAAAAGAGAGTCAGATCTTATAAGCCCAGAAATGCCTTTTACGTTTCAGTACATTGATGAACTGGATTTATAAGGACTATATCATAAAAATGAGCCTCCAGGCTCCACAAACTTAAGAAGGCAGCTAGAAGATGATTGCACCTGTTACAGACTAAAGCATAAGCTTGCAGTTGAAGGATTCTGGTGATTATTTATGACCTTAAACCATAAAATTTGGATCCAGATTCCAACTCCCTTTGTGTTTGGGGGATTGGTGGCAGGTGCTTGATTGCAGTTCACTGCTGCCAGTTAGAATGATTACATTGCTAGAGCTATGGCATTCCCCTCCACCTTCTGCTGGAAACTGCTGCATAGGACCACTGCATGTTGTAACACACACACCTTCCCTGGAATATTTGCATCTCAGTCACTGAAGAAGGTTCTAAGTTGTGTGCTTTAAACTTTGTAAAAGCTAAATCTTTGCAATTGTTAGGAGGCTTTGAAATAAGTACTATAAACTGTAGAGATTTTTATACTTTTGTTATTGTAATTTTTCCTCCTCGTGCTCTTCCCCATAGCCATGCCTTCTCAGCAAATATAAGTCCCATAAAGCATCAAAGTGGCTTAGAACAAACAAAAGCTAAATCAGCAATTTTCAGATGAGGTCACAGTGGCCTTAGGAAGTCTTCAAGGTCTTCTTATATGGCCATCAGTTACATAAGTATTCATGTAGCCCTAGTTATACTCACCCCTTGACAGTCAAAACAGCCACCGGGAGTCCTGCCTGGATTGTGGGATGAGGCCAGAGCAGCTGCCACGTTTCCAGTGTTCCCACTATGAGTGAGAAGGGGGAATCCTAGATTCATGGCAGTTGAAGGCTGTGAGGGAGACCTGGAGGGACTGGCAGGGCAAGGGATAATAGGACAATACATGGTTTTCTGTAAAATCCAGTGCCATTTCTTCTGTCAGCACTGTGGAGAGGCAGCGGAGGGGCTGGTGCCACCAGCTGACCATGCTTCCTAAGGTTTTCCTGTAGCTGGTTGAACACCTTTGGGTCAGGCCTGGGCCTAAAGGTACATTCCAACCACAAATAAATAAAATAAGGCTACAGAGCTGTCAACAGCTCTATGGAAAAGAAAGCCCAGTTTGCAGACAGTGACTAGTTCTCCTTCAGTAAAATACTCATCTGCTTCATTCCTTATACTAAACAAGCTCTTTTGTCTCTGCCACCAACCAGCTGATCACGACCCCCAAGGCGGACAACACCATGTACATACAGCAGCGAGATGAATATCTGGAAAGCTTCTGCAAGATGGCAACGAGGAAGATCTCAGTCATTACAATTTTTGGCACCATGAACAATAGCAGCATGAAAATTGACCACTTCCAGCTAGGTTCTTTTTTTTTAATAATTTCTTTCCATCTCATGGGCACAATACAGACAGCAAAGGGAGAAATCTCCCCAGCTTGGGTCAGGATCTGAGCAAGATCATTTGTTGTGGTCCAATTGCACTTTCGAACCCGTTCCTCCTCCTTCCATGCCAACTACACCCCTTTTGTATTTACTTAAGTGTCTCTGGTATTTTCCATGTTTAGGCTTCCAGTACTGTAACTTGAGTGCCTTCAGCTTTCTTTGTGGGAATTCTTAAAGCCAGTAAAACAGAGAAAGAGTGAAAAGGCAGAAAAATGTGATGAGGGCATGGGTCAGAAAGAGGAAATTAGGCTCAGCTCTACCAATACCTCGAATACAATGCACCCCCGCCCTTGGTTTTTGCAGGACATCAGCCATGGCTGGCTAGATACTGGCTAGCACAATTTAAACACTGCTTAAAGAAACTGTCTGTTGTCATGAAGGAGAGGAGACTGAGGGCAGGAAATGCTGAAGAAAACTGTTTGAGATTATATTCAAAACTTGGCCCACGTTAATCCTATTTTGAAGTTCAACATCGTTATCTCCACGCTCTGCCATATAACATTTTCTCATGCCTTTGCACTCCTCACAAGGTCATGGAAAAAACTTCATTTATCAGGGGCACAGACTGGCTAAACCCAGGACAGAGAGAAGCATGTTAGTTAGACCTCTTGCTGCGAGTTCCTTTCCTTCCCTTCCCAGGATCAGCTTTCCTAGGCTTAAAAGCTGATTTTGATGTGTTCACAAAGTGAGTATTCTCCTCCACTGTAAGGGGAGGTCCAGGTGTTTTTTCCCTCTGTACTGGTAGACAGGTATTAATTTATAAGATTTCAACCATAGCCTCTAGGTATGGACAACCTTACAAATTTGCACCAGCATACCTGATATTAAAATGTTTACAATTTGAAGTCCTATCGCCTCTCTTTACCTGTAAAGCAAGATACCCATCAGTGTGACCGCTTATTGCTGGCTATTGTAAAGAGGTTCATCTTGCTGAAGCCAGAGGTTTTGGAGGCACTATAAATCAGACTATGAAGGACTTGAAAAGTAGCTCATTCAGCCATATTTATTACCACGTTCTTTACATACAGAGTTCCCATATAGATGGGTGACATTGGGCACCCATCTCTCTTAGGCAGCTTTGAAACAACTGGTGTCAGTGTTCAGGTCCTGTGGAAGCATCCACCAAAGCCAGTGAGAACCTTTCCTTTCATAACAGTAGGGTTTGGACAAAGACTTCAGGTCCCAGTCCAGCAAAGCACTTAAGCTTAGGTGCCTCTTGAATCATGTAAACAATCTCATTGCTGTCTGCATCTGAAGGTTAACACCACTGTGAATGCTTCACTGGACGAAGGCAAAGAAATAGTATAAAAGCTGCTAGTTTTGCTTACAAGTCCACCACATCTTTCCTCTGCAAGTTCATCTGGTTTTACCAGACCTTGAGAAGAGATGTGTGATGGAACAGAAAGCTCAGGACCACACCAGCTCCAGAGTATTTCAGGTCTGGCATACAACAGGCCAGAAGATCACAGATTTATGTCTGGTTTCCAGCCGTGCCTCTACTACTCTCAGAGGCAGAGGACCTAGCGGGGGACCAGGAGCCTTGTCTCCCTGAATGACAGAGAGTCACAAATCCTGCCAGACTGTCCATTTGTGCACCTCCTTGACAAATGTGGAGCGGTACAGGATTTTTCACATCAGGCCAAGGTTACTCAAGGTTACTTTTTGTGTACCAAGACCCATCTGCTGGTCAGTGGACTGTTTAGGATTATATTTAGCTCCAGGCTGGCTAATAAACAAACATTCACTCAGACATAGACCATACTCTTTCAGCCAAACTTAACCTACACCCAAACTTTCCCCAAACCACACAAGTGTATATAACAGCTGAATTCTCACAGAAGGAACTAACTTGTTGAAGAAAAGCAGGAGACTTAGTCAGGTGTAAGTTAAACCTTACATGAAGTTCACCTTACATTTTTGCTGAAAACACCAAATCCTGAGCCTTTTTAAAAGTTTAAATAATACAAATGTCTTTCTATTCTATCTCCCCTTCTCCTCTACCCTTCCTGCTTGCACGGCCTCTTCATGGCTCACTCTCTGTCAGCACCAGAAGCAGCAAAAGCTCCTAAGAAACGTTTTGTTCACAGTATTTATGCTGCAGTGAGAAGCCTTAGCACCCACCATGATGAGGTCTACTTGTAGTGCTGTATCTTGGGACTGAGATACAAATGACAACAACAGAAAAGTCCACAGAAAAGACATTTCACTTGAAATGTTAAACACATTTAGAAGTAGTGAATGAAAAGAGGGCTCATTAACACTATTTGGCCAAGATCAGCTCATACTGAAACCAAAAAGTGTTTCCCAGTTTCCCACTGGAATGACGCAAAAGCTGAGCGTCGCTGCAGACGTCTTCTCTTCACCCTGAGTTAGCCATGTGGTCTCTTTTCCCCAACTCATGGGAACAGGGCTTTAGTCAACTAAACACCAGTCCCAGGCTACCTGTCTTATAATCAAAGCCAATACCTAATCTATTAGGCCACTGTACTGCTACAACAAACTGCTGAACTTCTTTGCAACTTCATTTGAATTATTTGTAAAGAGCAACTCATATTCCCAGCCTGTCTAGCTGCTAAAGATGTATGGAGAAAAGTTTCCACACTCTCAGTGACCTTTCTAGAAAGAGCAAAGAGAGCGAGGACTTTGCAGGTAGCAGCAGACAGTCTCAACTCCCGTTGTTCTTCATGCTGATCCCAGATCTCCTTTATGAGGTGGAGGTCAGGGACAAGTAGTGACTAGGAAAGAGGCGATTAGATTAACTTCTTTTTTTTCTCCCTAGAAATCACTTCAAAGTTTGAAAGGCAGGCCAGCCTTTGTGGCATTATTTTTTTTTCCCCTGAAACATTTTTCTGTATCACTCTTGTCATTCAATTTTCTTCTTTACATTATAAGTTTTGAAAGAAAATCTCCTAACAATGAAACTCTAAAGCGCTATCTTGATGTTGGTATCTACAGTCTTTAAAGCAGAAGAGTGCCATGGGTCAGCTGGTCTAAGGTACTGCACCATACAGCTGTTTTCCATCACATTTCACACTAACATCTTTTGCATTATTCTACCTCCATATAGGCCAATGACATAGTCTTTACTTTTGTAGGGAATTGTTTGCAGGCATAAGTATGAATTTTTGGTCTATGTTTAATGGTCATGCTTGCCATTAGTAACATGTAAATCTCATTTACGAAGCATTGATGCATGATTTACATATGTTTTACAAAGTGAACAACCAATTAGCACATCCAGCAACCCATCCAATGGGGAATTTACAACATTGCCTATAATTCTTTACAAAACTTTCAACTGAGGTACATCTAAAACCATATAAATTACGTCTATAGCTTGATCAGTATAACCAAATTTTAACATTTGCTGGTTTGGGTTTTTTTCTGTAAGAAGCAGGTCCAAGGTGTGAAACCTAAAGGTCAGGTTCTGATTCAGACATCTTCCCAAAATTTTAATTCAGAAGTTTCGTTCAGTCTATTACACAGATTTGACCTACTGCAAAATTTGAATCAGGTCAGTATGCTCCTTAAAGACTACGATGTTTAGAAAATTATTTAAAATGCCTTATTGTATAATGAATCAAATAATTTCTGTTGCTGTCTGCTCAACTCCCCTTGTGGAGCAGGGGACTGGAAAGTTGTACCTTTGGATTCTAGCTCTTGAACAGCTGTCACATCTCTGTTTGACTTCACGCAGGTCACTTAAGCCGTGGCTGGGATTTCTAAGTGAGGATATGAATGTTTATATTCATAGCGGTGTCATAGGGCATAAGCAAGTAATGTTTGCAGAGAGCTCGTTGGTGCCCAGGTGACATTTCACTTTGTGTGTGATTTAGCCTGTCTTTAGCTTTCCAGGCCCACAGTTGCATACGGAGGCCTGTTCCAGCATTGTTGCAGTTGCATAGCGCTGTGCGGGATGCTACGGCTGAGGCTGAGCTGATGACAGGGAGGCTTTCAGGACTTGGCCCTAATACACCCTGGTGCCAGGGGAAGTAAGGAACCTCAGTGGCTCCACAGGCTTGTCTTGTACATGCTTCAAATCTATGTCTTCAGAGGTCTTTTTCTCCTCAAGTGTTTCTGAATGTTTTCTTAGGGTAGAGCAGTGAGTAGGTGCAAATCATTCTCAAAATTAAGTTTTTTCCTGTCAGGGTACTAGAATGGGAAATGAACATCAACAAGCAGATGGAAAAGGAATGTCACAGCAGGGTATATAGAGGGAGCTGAAGAGCTAGGACTGCAGTATTCAAGACACATTAAACATTTCTGGTTTCTTGTAGTCACTAAACCTCTCATGTAATTTTTTAAGACTGGAAAGGTTAACTATAGTGTCCTGGCCAACCTCAAGCTGTTCTAGCTATATTTTAGTGACCCAAATTCTCTATGCTGTTTCATTTGGGTATGGTGCTTTCCAACTCCTGTCCTAAATTGTTGAACAGTTTCTATTTTGTATTCCAGAAGAGACTGCATTTCAGGAGCGGAGCTAGTGAAATTATTAGTACATGCATATACATGTATAAGCATATTAAAAAAATCTAAAAGATCTTTCCAGGAAAGAGAAGGCAACCAAGATTTTTCAAAAGCAAGTAGAACAGTTGAATACTGAAGTGCATGTGCCCTAGGATAGACTGATTTTCAAAAAATACTGGGATTGAAAACTGGACAGTTAAAAGCCATAGTGCCATACTGATGTTTTTTAATATCTTGCCTATGCAGCAGGAAGAGGGCTTCTGGGAAATTGATTTCCCCCTTTCTTTCAAGGTGAAATTAAAGGCAGAGTGCTGCATGATTCCATGACTATTTTTATTTCTCCTTTGTCTCACATGAAGATAATGAAAAGCCCATGAAAGTGATAGAGGATGAAGATCTTGTGGACCAGCAGCTCATCAGTGAGTTGAGGAAAGAGTATGGGATGACCTACAATGACTTCTTCATGGTGCTGACAGACACTGACATGAAGGTCAAGGTGAGGGTTTCGACTCTTTGAAAGAAAAGGCATTGGAAAAATATGAAAAAAAATTTTAGGAAATTACACTACAGGCTTGCATGTGAGGCACATAAGAGACTGATGCGGGACTTGGTCATTGTTGGAGGACGAGAAAAAGGACAGTAAGAGAAATTTTCAGGAATTAGGTAGCTATCTTAATTTTCTGTAGTTAGGGGATTTTGGGGATTGTGGGTTTCTGCTGGGATGGTGAGCTGACACTATAGGAACAGGACCCATCACTGGCAGGGGTTTTAATGTAGTACCTGGCATTCTAAAACACACAGTTTGGCTGCTTCATGGGATGACGGCACGTTGCATATGGACAATGCTCTTAGTTGAATGGCCTTACAAAAGAATATAATGACAATTTGTTGCCTGCAATGGCCTGGCCTTATCACATTGGGCAAACACTGAAAATATGCCACTTCCAAATGTCAGTCTGACTGCAAAAGCAGTAATATTTTTATGGTTTCTAATCTGGTTTAGGTCTTGTTACCCATGTGTAAATAGGAATACTTGAATGTCTATATATCCTACAGTGCTGTGATACATGCAGAAAGACTGCTAATACGTGCATCCTTTTATCCATCTGTTCTTTTTTCTTAACAGCAATACTATGAAGTACCCATAGCAATGAAGTCCGTGTTTGATTTGATCGACACCTTCCAGTCACGAATTAAAGACATGGAAAGACAGAAAAAAGAGGGCATTGTTTGCAAAGAAGATAAGAAGCAATCCCTTGAGAGCTTCTTATCCAGGTATTACCTTCTGTTCTTATCTACTGCTAGTTCTAATAATTGTTGTCTTATGGGAAAAATACCCATCCAACTATTTATGTGATTTTTTAATATAGATTTCTCAGTATTTACACTGTTAAGCAAATACAGAGATGTAGCCATAGCTGCATGCAGTCTTGTACAGAGCACTGTAAATCAGGATGCATGTTGTGTTTCCTGACTGCACATTCTTTGGACACTATCTTTCAGTACCTCGGTACCCCCATCATGACATGGAGATAACAACACTGATTTGCATTAGAAGAGCAAATAAGGATTAATTCACAGATGTTAGCTCAGTGTTTTGAATGTATGAAGCACAGTGTTTATGTTTCAATCATCAACCATCACAATCTCATTAATCCCATTCCAATCCCGTCCATGTAGCTTGAATCAGTAATTAATTCTCTGTAACTTCCTTCTTATCCTGCTTGGGATAACAGTTGGTCTTTGCCAGTATTAGTCATGCATATTATTAAAGGTCTCGCAGATGTCTCTTGCAAAATGTTTGAGAGACCTTCTGCAGAAAGACAGTTTTATTTATGCAATCTCTATATGCCGTGTTACTGCTCTTCCTGCGAGACCTAAATTCCAGGCACATAAACATGTCTGGACTGTGGGAATTCAGATTCACATAAGAGCTGTGCAGCTATAACCCCCTCTGTTACAGGATAATTTACATGAAATAAGGGCTACCCCATCACTCTAGACTTTACCTGTTACTACTGCATCTTCCTCACCTACTGTCAGAATCCATGGGAATACACTGTTAATGCCAGATGGTTATAAAAATAACTGAGGCAGTGTAATGGATTATGACTTGAGGGGGAAAGGAGCAACAGGTAAATGAGTAGGTTGTTGGTTCATAAACATTTTAAAATTCGATGGCCACTTCAGCAGAAAGAGAACCTTTAACAAGATCCACCCCACCCACCTCACCACCTCCTGTTTAGGTCTCAGTGATTCATCCTCAAGACCACCAAGAAGAACCACAGTTTAGAAACAGCTGACCAACACAAGAGCGAGCTTGTATGCTGGAAAGTGACAGGCCCCAAATCCTTCTTTGCTTGCAAACACGCTAGTAATAAACACACAAACAGGCAGGAAAAATGCAGAATGTTGCATCTATAAACAGAACTGCCACTGCACAGAATGCATTTGTTGTCTGTGAAACAAGCATCAGGCTTTAAATATCAGGCGGACTTCACTAGCCACGTTACTGGTCGGATTCCCAGCCAGATTCATTCCAGCTTTGTCCAAGATCTTCCAAGCTGATCAAGAGTCCCAGCATCATGTCCCTGGTGTTGCTCATTGGGGAGGTCAGTTATAATAATGCAAATATTGTTCTTAACAAGCCTGGCTGACATGAAAGACCATGAGAGCCAGAGCTGGCTTGAGTAATGCTTAAAAGCCATATGTATCAGGAGAAAGAAGATCCTTGAGTTTGTGTGGGGGAGTCCCTCTGTAACACCAAGACACTGGCTGTGCTGCTCTCTGGGCTCACAAACAAGAATGGGATGCAAAATAGGTAGAAGAGGAAGAAAGGATGCAGGGAAGGGTCTGGCAGATTTGTCAGGACAGGAGTACTGGCCTGTGGCTTCTGATGTCAGAAATAAGGCATAAATCTGTACATTAGTGATGGGGAGCTAACAGCTGTGAAGGACCAACTGAGTTAATTTCTCGGTAAGATGTAGCCCCAGACAAGCACACCAGGTATAGGGATTACCTGGGGCAGGGGGATAAACACCTTGAGTGACTTTCAACCCTTTTCAGCTCTGTGCATCTCCAGAGGAGATACTCAAAAAACCAGAAAGGAATTAAAGTATCTTAAAGCAGCTCACAGATAAGATTCCATCCTGATTTATGCCCTAGACAAAATACGATGCAATGTTTACATTCTCAGTCATTGTTTATAGGTAGCCAGGTGCTTTTACTATACAAAATATCACAAAGATTATTTTTTCACCATTTTCAGAATAACAGCACGAAATTTCCCCCCTTTCCTTCATGTCACATATATGATTCTTAATGCTTCTCATTCCTATTCACATACTTGTATACATATGCCCATGTCTCTTTGCTGTTCCTCCTGGGCAAGATTAAAATCGGGGAGCTTTGCTTTTCAAGGATTTACTTTTCTAATTCTAAAAATACACGCAGTATCAGTTGGTCAACAAGACAAAGACATCATCAATCCCTGTTCTTTCAGCAACTTCTTCTGTGACTTTGAGCAAGTCCCACCATATTTTCTGCTTCTCTCAAGTGGAACAGAATTGATCCATTACATTAGCCTTTATTTTGAGATCTTCACATGGTGCTGCAGAAAGGCAGGCTATTATTGTAACAGAGTAACATCTGCATCCATTTAAAAGATTGTTTCCTGCTATAAAAATATCCCTGCAGCTTTGCAAATTCCTTTAAATCTTACTTATTTAGGTTTAACGGAGAAGTACCTTTATTCAAAAAAGGGGTTACTTGGAGAGTATTAAAAACCCCTATAGTTAGAATTTTTCAAGGTTTCAGGTGTCCTTATGGCATTGCCTTTCTTTGAGAGGGCAAAGGAAGGTGCTCCTTGTGCAAAAGTTTGGTCAGATGGGGCATGCCATCTTAAACAAAAATCAAAGATTTATCTTATTGCCCCATGCATGCCTTATATAGCCACAGGCTCACACAGCCACACACATACAAACAAGCTCAGATTTCAGTCATGTTAAAGGCATCTTGAGCAAGTGTGGTATAGAAGAAAAAGAGGTCAGTGAGTATTTACACAGAAGTATGAATTATGTCTGAAATGAAGATACACCCTAACTCTCAGACAGCCCTTGGACTGCAAAATAACTGTGCAGTTCCAGCAGTGGTGAATGACGTAAAGGCTAAATGTCTAGTGAGGAATTCTACAGGAATCTTTCTTTTCCTTGAATATACACTTCTCAGCATTGTCATAACTACTGAACGGGGCTTTGAGCAAAGATCATAAGCTTTGCAGTGTTTGTTTGGCGAAGCAGCGAAACTGCAGATGTCTCCTTGAGAGTTTTGGAGTTGTAAAATTCAAAACAGGCTTTATCCTCTCTCGGTGATGGATAGAACTGGGAAGATCTCCCATCTAGCTGTTACTTAGAAGCTGTGAGAGGTATGATATCTCTCAGCCTATAGAAAACAAAAATGCTGAGAGGCCTTGAGTCACGTGTCATGACCGTGCCCTGTCACACTCTCTTCTCTTTCCAGGTTCCGATGGAGAAGGCGGCTGGTGGTGATCTCTGCTCCCAGTGATGAGGACTGGGCTTATTCCCAGCAGCTTGCTGCTCTTAGTGGACAAGCCTGCAATTTTGGTGAGTCAAAAGAAATCATACTCTTGCTCCCCAAAACCACATCCTTCCTGGTGATGTGATGGATTCCTTTGCTCAAGTCTGAACCTAGACAGTCTGAGTCGTCTGACAACTGAAAAGTTTGCTGTAGCTACTCCAAATACAAATGGAAAATACTGTGCTAAGCAGGTAGTTCAGCACACCCTGACAGCTAAGACAGCTAAACAAAGCGTACCCTGGAATCATTTGTGTGAGGCAGAAAAGGTTAGCACTCCGAAGCTTCTCTTCGGGCTTGTACTTCAGGAGATCAATAGTATTTTCTTTTTCTTACTGCAGAATTTAATGACATAAGTACAATCCTTTGAGAAGGGCAGATCCTCTTATACCCAGCTTAGAACTGGGCCAGGTATCAGGGCGATGCATGGACATCAGCTTTTTTTCTTTTCCCTCCTGCTTCATTGCCAAAACCCATAAAAATATTAATGGAAGCCACTTTAACCCAATAAGGACCCTCCCAGCCCCCTAACTAGGTACTTAAGATCTAACTACATAGTCAGTGGAGAGACATGGGCGCCTCCATGAGGCAATTAAGAGCAAGACCCAGAAACACTCTTCTATCTTTCCATTATGAAGCCCTGAGAGACTTACTCTTTAACTTACATTCCTAGCAATGCAAGTACCATACAGGGCCTAGACTTGACTCCTACAACAGAATGAAACAGGTCCCACTCAAAAGCCACTATTTCATTACATTTCAATTATGCTTGGAGATCTGCACAGTATCACTGCTACACTGTCTGTTTATTCATAATCACCTGACTTTCATTCAGAGAGTCAGCATCATCTCATTTGGTAACTACCAAAGTAAACGGTGACATGGATCACTGTAAAATGCTTTCTGAAGAATGGGATGTAACCCAAACAGTTAATTCTCTCCACCCTTTGCTAGAGACAACTTGGAAGAGATCCAGTGAGTTCCTAAAGCATTTGTCCTCAATGGGTGTTTTAACTAAGTTATATGTTTCCAAGTATCTTACCTCCAAGTTGTAAAAACAGTTACATCAAAGATTTTGTCTGTACATCGTACAGACTCATGTTACATGAAGAGTTTCTACAGCCCCTAAGGTCTTTCTTCAAAGCAGAGGCAACAGTCCAAGCCTCTGCCCAGAACAAAGGAAAGGAGTGAATGCCTGTCCTAAGCCATTCCCCACAATCATTTGGAGTTTTGGAGTGATAGGTTATATTGCCTCTAAATACTTTGTTGCTGTGTGTATGACAAGTAAGAGCTTTACTAGTGAACAAAAGAGTGCACAGACATTCTGAATTTGGGGAATGACCTCTGTAATTTACTGGTGTGCTTGATGCCTGTACCCCTACGCTACAGAACCACACCAAATGCTGTTGTCCTTGGGACACTAGCAACAGCTTTTATGCAACTGATATCACATTTATTCAACACACTAGTTTATTGCCATGTTTGGGACAGGTGATGTGAGTGGCAGAGACTCCAGAGAAATCAGAAACTCTTCTTCCTAGAGGGCTGCTGAGACTGGCCCCTAATTTAGCATGCACAAACCTAGCCGATTAAACTGAAATCTGCCCAAGAACAAGCAGAAAGAACTGGTCTGACCCAAAACCTCCTTCATTTCCTCCACAGGTCTGCGCCATATAACTATCCTCAAATTGCTAGGACTTGGAGAAGATATTGGTGGCGTTTTAGAGTTGTATCCAATTAACGGTAAGTGACTGTTTCCAGTTTCTTCAGTACTATCCATAGAGGGCATTACAATAGTGCTGAGTGTTTCTTTGCCGTAATTTCTTTAGAGGGATGGGTATGACTGTTTTTCTCTTTTGCTTTGTTTCTTTTAAGAAACAAGAAGACACAAAAGCAAACCATAAGTTTTCTTGGTGTTCCTATACTAAACATTATATAGCTTCTTCAGGACAGAAAAGCCCAAATATCATCTGGAAGTCATCTCACATCTTTATCTCCCACCTAAAGATACAGTCCCAAGTACACTCCTCTGCCTGCCTTGCTGTCAAAGACAAAGGGATGTCTGTGCCTTTTACATGCTCAAGAGTTTGCAGGGCTAACAGAACATAGAGCCAGCAGCTTCTCTTATATGGGTCCCTCATTCATCTTCATAGAATGGTTTGGGCTGAAAAGCACCTTTTAAAGATCATGCCATGGACAGGGACATCTTTCACTAGATCAGGTTGCTCAAAGTCCCATCCAATCTGACCTCGAACACTTCCAGTGACAGGGCATCCACAACTTCCCTGTGCAACCTGTTCCAGTGTCTCACCACCCTCATCCTAAAAAAACCTCTTCCTTATATCCAATCTAAATCTACCCTCTTCTGGTTTAAAACCATTACACTTTGTCCTGTCTCTATGGGCCCTGGTAGAAAGTCTTTCTCCATCTTTCTTACAAGCCCCCTTTAAGTATTCCACTTGCATCTCAGCAGGCTATTCAGGTTAGCTATTCTTAGGAGACCTCACTGTCGGTACATTTCAAATGCTACAGGTTCCTCTACTACCTAATCCCAACGACTGCCTCCATCAGTGGAGGGACAAAGACAGGAAGGAGCTTACTTATCCCATTGCTGTTTCTACAGCTCTGTATATGAAAGCATATTAGTCCTTCTACCACATATAGACATAAGTCCATGCCTAAGAAAGAATATGAACAGAGAAAGCAGATATCATACTTCTTCCATCAACACTCTTGCAGCCTCCACTTACTTTTCATTGAAGGATTTCATGACCTTGGTTATAGTTCCTATTTGTTAAGATCAACAGACCTCTCTTCAATTTACTTGTCTAATCTCCCTCTGAATTCACATTAACTTCTAGCATGTGGCCTCCTGTGAGAACCTCTACAGATCTGCAAGGGATCTTTTATTTGTCCCGAACATAGCCCTTATAGCTTTCTTTTATAGCCCTTATCTCTTGCGTAGGGACAAAAGGTAAACATTTAACCCCTATCCATCTCTGCAGTGACATTCACAATCCTGTAGACCTCCCCCAACCCGTTTATTTTACAGACTGCAGTCTTTACTTGGTCATTTCTCATACAGAGTTTATTCCAAATCTATGATCAGCCTTGTTGCCTTTCTGCTTTTTTTCCAGTTCTACCATATTTTTTTGAGAGGAGAGAACCAGAATTGCATGCAGTCTTCAAGATGCACACAAACATTAGGCTTCCATAGTGGCATAATAATACTCTGTTTTGGTTTTTATTATTTTCATCACGGTTTATAACATCTGTTTCAGCTTTTTACCATTAGTGAGCACTGAACTAGCCTTTCATGAAACTCTCTTTCATAGCCCTAAGATCTCACTGCCAAGTGGTAATGGTCAGACTTCACCATTTCTTACGTGGAGTTAGCAAAACTTCCAATTTGAACAGAATTTCTTCCATCATTTTATTGACCAGTCACACAGCCTTACAAGGGTCTTCTGCAATGCTTCACAATCATCCCCCACCCTTACAACTCTGAGTATCTCCACATCCTCAGTACAATTCCTCACCTCCATGCTCATACCTTAAGTGCATCATTTACAAATACATTGAACAGCACCAGTCCCAGCACAAACAACCGTGAGACTTCACTGGTGACCTCCCTCCGCTCTAGGAACCCATCATCCGCTCCCACCTTGTTTCTGCCTTTCAACCAAGCTATCAAAGTTCCTTTTGAAGCCTTCTAGAAATCCACATAGCCTATATCAGTCAGACCACCCTTAGCCACCTGCTTGCTGACCTCCTTCAGAGAACCTCAACAAGTTTGTAAGGCAGGATGCCACTTTGTAAGAGTCCTGTTGCCAAGCCAACTATGAAAATGTCTCTGTGTGTGTGTGTGTATGTACTATATATATAGGTGTCCACTGATCCTAGTTGACTTACTAGTTGACTTATACTTTCTACTTGTTTATCCAGCACTGACTTCACACTTACAAGCCTGGAGTTCACCAGATTTGCACTAGAACATATATTTTAAAGTGGACATGACATCTACCACATCCCATAACTTGCATATCATGACGTTCAAGAGTGAGGCCCTATACTGCTATTCATGACCAAGCGAATTCATCCTTCACACTATCACACTTCAATTCCAGTGATTTCTTTCACTGTGACTGTTTTTCACATATGCCTTCTGCATTATATGAACCAGTCACCCAAGCTGCATAGGAGCCAAAAAAGTGAAGTTTACTAAACCTAACAAAACCGTTAAAAATACATCTTTAGTTCATAGTGGAGCAGTTTCATCTCAGAACCAGAAATCCTGAACTTGTAAACGACAAGAATCTTACATTGCCAACTATTGGGCTGTATCCTGTCTCATGTTCCTAACTCTCTTACCTACAAACCATCATCATTGCCTAAACAAGATATCAATGCTGTTTTTATGTGATCACTTTCTAGGAAGCTCTACTGTAGACCGAGAAGATATCCCAGCTAATTTGGTGAAAGACATTAGAAATTATTTCCAAATTAGCCCAGAATATTTCTCCATGCTTCTCGTTGGGAAAGATGGAAACGTCAAATCCTGGTATCCTTCTCCGATGTGGTCTATGGCGATTGTGTATGATCTGATTGATTCCATGCAGCTTCGGCGACAGGAAATGACAATTCAGCAATCGCTTGGCATGCAGTGCCCAGATGATGAGTATGGTGGGTATGGTTACCATAGCTATCACCAGGGATACCAGGAAGGTTATCAAGATGACTACCGTCACCACGGAAGTTACCACCATGGATATCCATACTGAAAAGAGCAACTTAGCCTCCGACTGCCCCGTGTCCGTCTTCTAATAGCTATCCAAGCAATAGGTGGCCAGTTGCAGAAAGTCTTTCCAGGCCACCTAGATACCCATGCCTCATTCTTCCACTGTTCAATCAAGGGACTTTGATCATTTGCCTTCTCAAAAATGCAGAAGCCTTTACAGTGAAGCAATTGAAACCAGTAGCATTGAAGCTTTAAACAATAAAGACTCCTTTATATTTTTAAACCTTTATAAACAAAGGGCATCAGCAGGTGCTGTTTGTATTAAAACCAAACAAAAAAACCTCACAGCCCCAGTCCATGGACACTACTGTAGGGCAGGACACACTCTGTCCGACAAATATTGCAATGCTCTTTTTAGTATTTTTTCTAAGGAGAAAAAAAATAAGTATATTTATTGGAAAGTGGGATTGCATTGTGCTCATGAAGACAAACAAAGAATCACACTTCAGGACTTTCCCAGAAAAGGAAAATTTAAGAAAGAAGCATGGGGCAGGCTCTTAATAACAACAACAACAACAACAACAACAACAATAATAATAATAATAATAAAATCCTTTTGAAGTACCTTGTCTAAAAAAAGACAGCATCCCTTCTACAGTGCATTAACATTGTAATTAGCTGACTTTATAAATGAAAATAAGAATTTATGGCTATGGCAGGATTTGTTCCAATACAATACAATGTAAAGTTCCTAACTACAAAGCTTGCTGCTCAGCCATTTATTCTTTTAATTGGGGTCCCTGTTCTCTTAGGTCCTGCCCACCTAACAGTTAAATCCAAGTTAATAAGAGCTAAGTGGAAACACCAACCATAGTTAGCATTGTCTGAAATACAAAAAACTGAAAAGCATTATTTTAATCAGAAGAAAAGGAAAAAATTCTCATTCACATATATTTTAAATGAGTTGTAACTCTCTATAATAATGTTTTTAATTAAACTATTGCTCTAAATTTCAGATTTCCTTCTACCTCTTCTTCTCATACCCTCCCCCATGGAAAAAAAAAATATATCTAGACTGAATGTTTATAAAACTATTTGGGAATAATTTGATCTGCTACTAAACCAGCTATATTTCTGCCACACTTTCTGAAACGGTTTTCTTCTCCCTTCTCATTGGTGTCTTTGGGCATTGGATCTGTTGCATCACCCTACTCCTAATGAAATCAGTGGCAGGAACTGCCATGCTTTCAACACCATTTGGGTTAAATTTCTAAACACTGAAGACCCCACAGAAAGATTCAGGAATATCCTGAAGTGAAGGTATCATGCAAGCCTTCATAGTGGCACAGTGGTCACTTCTAATGTTGAAGGCATGCCTGACCAGTCACATTTCTTTTTATAATCTGTGACATGGGTGCACATGCCATGTATAGATTCATGCAACAGGGTGCTCTTACTAGGTTTTGCCATCACAGCAGTAGTGCAGGAATAGGGCGAAGCTACAGCTCTAAGCTGGCCAGAGCATGCCCCACAGTTTGAGTTTTAGCATTTTCCTGATTTTTTTTTTTTTTTTTTTTTGGCACAGACAAAAATAGAACTGGGTAAAGCAACAAGTTCACTCAAAACCAGATGCTTTCTTTAGAAGCTTAGTCACAAAAGGTCAGACCTTGCTTGCCCTTCTGAATGTCAGACAGATGTGGAGAGGTCACAGGGCCTGGCCAGTCTTCCTTAGCTTTACAAACCTGGTCACCCGCTGGGGTAGGCTGCCCTCTGTACCACAAGGTCTAGTCATCACAGGGTACAGCTCCCAAATTACCTCTCTCAGGTGACCGGACCTAAGTGGGGGAAGGTAGGCATTTGACAGAACTATTTTGAGAGGACTGCTCCCTCCAGAGAGCTTCCAAGCTCTCATTAACTACAGCACTTCCACAGCTGAAAGTAGGGGACAGAGAAATTCAAAAAAACAAGGAAGAGCTATAAACAAGAATCACAGAACTGAAAGGTTTCTAGAAGAAAATGGGAGGTCCCATAGCTCAGTTTTAGAAAACAAGTGCTTATTGCATCAGTGTATTAAGGTCAGCTGCCTAACTTTCTTTGCCTAAAGCAAAAGCAGAGGAAACTATACCAGATGTCTAACAGCAACCTCCTGTAGATAAGAAGAGAAACGCCTTTGGGGTGTTTTCTTTCAGGTGTTCATATCAACTTTTCTGTAATCTTGTTTTTCATGTGAAGTCTTTAAATGAAAGCACTTTTAATTCACATTACAAATCATGGAAACTAAATGTCCTGTGCTGTGCAGGAGGAGGAGGCAGTTAATTTACAAAAGAGAGGGCAACACCTGATGCAAATTGCCTTCCCCTTCCTCCCCCCCCCGCCCCCCCCCACCCCTC